ATTAGAGGCATAGATGTTAAGAACTGAGACTTTGTGTTGATGGATTTCTCCTTCTATGACTATGAAATGACCATCTTCATCTCTTTTGATTAATTTTGGTTTGAAGTCTAACTTGTTAGATATTAGGATAGCTACACCTGCTTGCTTCTTGGTTCCATTTGATTGGCAAATCTTTTCCCAACCCTTTCCCTTTACCCTGAGGTAATGTCTATCTTTGAAGCTTAGATGTGTTTCTTGTATGCAGCAGAAGGATGAATTCTGTCTTCGTATCCATTCTGTTAGCCTGTCTCTTTTTATAGGTGAGTTAAGACCATTAATGTTGAGGGTGAGTAAGGACCATTGATTGTTGATGCTTGTTTGATTTAGGTTTGTTGTTGGCAGTGGTATTGTGAATATATTAGTTCTGCTTTACCCTTGGTTTCTGGTGTATTTGGATTATCTGTTGCCTACATTTTTGTGGGCGTAGTTACCTTCCTTGGGTTGGAGTTTTCCTTCCAATACTTTCTGTAGGGCTGGATTTGTAGATATGTATTGGGAAAATCTGGTTTTGTCATTAAATATCTTGTTTTCTCCATCTATAGTGATTGAGAGTTTTGCTGGATATAGTAGCCTAGGCTGGCATCCGTGTTCTCTTAATGCTTGTAGAACATCTATCCAGGACCTTCTGGCCTTGAGGGTTTCCATGGAGAATTCAGGTGTAATTTTGATAGGTCTGCCTTTATATGTTACCTGTCCTTTTTCCTTCGCTGCTCTTTATATTCTTTCTTTATTCTGTATGCATATTATTATATGCCAAGTGGTCTTTTTTCTTTGGTCTAGCCTATTTGGTGTTCGGTATACTTCTTGTACTTTCATGGGCATGTCCTTCTTCAGAGTTGGAAAGTTTTCCTCGATGATTTTGTTGAATATGCTTTCAGCACCTTTGAGCTGGGCTTCCTCACCTTCCCCTATGCCTATTATTCTTAGGTTTGGCCTTTTCACGGTGTCCCACATTTCCTGGATGTTTTGTGTTAAGGATTTGTTGGATTTATGATTTTCTTTGGTCGATGAATTTATTTCTTCTAGTTTATCTTCTGCACCTGAGATTCTCTCTTCCATCTCTTGAATTTGTTGGTTATGCTTGCGTCTGTAGTTCCCGATTTTTTGCCCAGTTTTTCTATTTCCAGCATTTCTTTGGTTTGTGTTGCCTTTATTTTCTCTATTTCAGTTTTCAAGTCTTGAACAGTTTCCTTCACCTGCTTAATTATTTTTTCTTGGCTTTCTGTACTTTCTCTACTTTCCTTAAGGAATTTGTTCATTTCTTCCACTTTTTTGTTTGTTTTCCCTCCATTTTTTATGGGATTTTCTCACACATTCTTTGTGGCTCTTTCTTTTTTTTTGGTTATTTTTATGTCCTCTCCTCCTTCTTCTTTTTTTTGTTGTTTTTTTTTTTTTTTGGTGTTGTTTTTTTTTTTTTGGGGTGGTGTTTTTTTTTTTTTTTTTTTTTTTTTTTTTTTTTTTTTTTTTCCTTCTTTTCTTTTTTTTTTGGTTTTGGGTTGGGGTCTCCTCCTCTCTCTATGGTACTTCTCCGTTGGGCTTATGTGGGTCAGAGATTCAATATCTGTAGCTCTGGGTGGTCCAAGCTCTATAGGAGGTCTCTCCATAGATAGGGACCCAGGGATGGGGTCAGGGCTGAGGATCCAGTAGAAGATGCCACTAGCCAATGGCTGTAGCCAATGGCTGGTGGAAGAGGACAAAGGCTGAGCTGAAACCTGGGAAGTTTCTGCAGGATAGTCTGATCTCACTGGAAACTGGCACTCCCCAGCTGAGGCCTCTTTCTTTAGCAGAGTCCTCGGATCTCACTGGAAACTGAGATTTTCCAGCTGAGGCCTCTTTCTTTAGCTGAGGCCCTGCTTTGGAGGTCAAGTATCTTGCCTGTGGGAACTCAGCTGTTAGATACATTTTCAAGATGAATTTCTTTTCTTTTCTTTCTTTCCTTTTTTCTTTCCTTTTCCTTCTTTTGAGTCAGGGTTTCTCTACATTTATTTGGAGCCTGTCCTGGAACTCATTCTGTATACCAGGCTGTCCCCAAATTCATAGAGATCCACTTGCCTCTGCCTCCTGAGTACTGTGATTAAAGGCATGTGCCACCAACACCCAACTTCAAAATGAATTTCTTATATTAAGTCTATATCACTATCTTTGCTTCCATTGTTTCACTACCATGCTGGGTACACTACAGGGAACTCTCTCCACATACAGACTTTTCATCTCCAAATCTTAATGTCTGCCATTGCATGTGTAACGAATATTGAAATATTTCCACAAAGCTTAGAAAGACCTAGCCTTGTGTCCTTACCATTCCATGCCATAAGAAGTTTTGAGATTAATGCTTGCAAATAAATCATGTGTTAGAGGCTTTGTAATTCATGCCATTACTGTATTTTTTTATTTTAATTTAAAAAATTAACAGTTTTCATTTATTTTACACACCAACCACTGTTTCCCCTCTTTCAATCCTCCTACCAAGACCCCCATGCCTCCCATCCAGTCTCCTGCCCATCCACTGTCTCTATTCAGAAAGGGGTAGGCTTGAACAAAGCATGGCACATCATACGTTAATAGACTGAGTTACTGGAGTCAGTTTCCATGTTCTAAACATCATAGTGTTTAAAAACAACTCTTATAAAATCATGCAAGATTGCTCTCTCTCTCATACACAAACAACATATACACACACAGCATAACAGTGAGTGATAGTTCTATTATAACATTGAGAATATTCATTGTAAAAAAATAATATTCTTATGATGCCCAGAAACAGGCACTTAAGGCTAGGACTGGATGGAATACAATAAAGGAGGTGACCTTAAGAAGCAGGAATAGTGTAGTACCTAAAAGAAGCAAGGTAGAAATCCAATCCACCAAGATATGGGTTGATAACCATATAGTTATAGAAGGCAGCTGCCATTCAGAGTTTCCAGGCAATGCTAGGGAACACATGACACAACCAACCTCAATGTTGTAGCTTTGATTTGAAGATCCCTGCAAAACCTAGGTGGCAGAGTCCTTGTGGTTTCAGAGTTGATCCAGTGAGCAACAACTCTTCAACATCCTTGGCATGCCAGACACAGGCTTTCTTACTTTCAGGAGTAGAGATATTCCATAGACAGAAACTACAAAACATCTGTTCAGTTGACACAAGGGAAGGCTAAAAATCAATGGACAGCTGCCTGCAATAGTTTTTTTAAAGCTAAATTAGAAGTTTATTATCACAGCATCATCTACATATTAATGAAAATGGTAGCTCATTGTGAAAAAATAGTTTACTCCTCCAGCAAGGCTAAGAAAAAATATGGATTGGAATGTTCCTTGCAATAATTCTGGGAATGTCTTGCTTTCCATATTTTTTTCTCAATAGAATCTATACTCCAAAAGATCAATATAATCACTATATAGTTTGACAACCAAATGTTCCCCCCAAAGTCACAGTAGTTTATAATAAAAACTTCACACGGCACACTCTTGTCTTTGGAGGAGTCCCTTATTCCATCAAATAGCCATAAAACAGAAGTCTTCCATATAGGACAGAAGTAAGTGTGGCCCAGACATGGACAGCAGAGCATGTAATCAAGACATTTGCACACACCTTTCTTCTATAAGGTGTTTCTCTGCAAGGATACCTGGGAAGGCCATTGCATAAAACTGTAAAGGCAAAGCCTAAGTCACAGTGAAGATTCAGGATGTTGGAGATGTTCAAAGGTTAACATTCAGCATTGGACAAACAATAGTGGAGCTCATCCCTGGGAGAGGCCAATTCTCCTTTCTTCAAGAGTCATTAGTTGCTTGTTGTCTTTGTCTAGGGGCAGGACCCCATGGATTTTCATCTTGCCATGTTAATATGTTCACTGTTAATGCCATTGTTCTGGGTTGTTTATGCAGCCATTTCTAGGAGAGACTGTTTCACAGAAGACTTCCTGGTATTCTGACTATCACAATCTTTCTTATCTCCCTTCCTTGGTGTTCACTGAACAGAAGATGCAGGCTCTCTGATGTGAATGTGGCTACTGGGGCTGGGCTCTCAAAATCTGTTGATCTTTGCATTGGGTTCAGTTGTATTTTCTGTGATGGTCTCCATTTGCTGTAAAGAGAGGATGAAGGGTGGTAGCACACTTATCTGTGGGTATAAGGAAAAGATTTAGAAGGTTGTGAAGAATTATACTGGTCTAGTAGAGTGGTGGTAGTAGATTGTTTTCTAAGGTCCATGGCCTTACTATCCTGGGAAAGCTTGCTAGATTTCCAGGAACATGCCTAATTTCCCTCCTGTTGAATGGCCCTTAAGTCAACGAGAGAGCGGGTGGTTGCCACAGAAAAGTGAGAGCCACTCATTGCCCCTTTATCTTGTCTGGTCAATAATTGTCATGCTTCATGAGTGTTGCAGCTGGGAGGATTTAATTGCTTCCATTCACTGGCACCTTGCATTGTGTTTTCTGGGACCATGAAAGATAGACTAAAGGAAAGAGTCTTTCTGGCTACATTCAGGTCAAATCATCTTAGTTGTGCATCTTAAGTGTGTGGTGTCTTCAGTAACAAGGGCCTACCCTCAATCCCTGAGAGATACGGGGTACCCATCTCCAGGGTTTTGCTAATCTGTCATTTTTATGGGGAGCATGTCAGCCCAATTGACTTAACTTCCTTTAACACACACACACACACACACACACACACACACACACACACACACACACACATTTATGTGTATTGTGTATAGTTTTAAGTAAATATAAAATAATATTGAATATACATTTCCATAGAAACATTCTTTGAAATATGGGTCAAGACAGAAACAATTTGAAAGTCCATCAAAAAGACTATAGTACATAAAGCGTGTTTTTTTCTCCCCAACACTGTGTAGAACAGAATGGAGGGGACTGCTGGCGGGGCACTCCCTTGCTTGTCAGAGTAGAATCCAGATCTCCTAGCAACTGAGTAACCTCAACAAAACAAATCCCTGAGGCTGAGACCGTGGCCCCACAGCCAGGAGTATGGGAGACCACAGGCTGCCAGGGAACCAGGCCCGGCGGACACTAAAGCCAACATCTCAGGACATGACCAGCAAGTCTGTGTGGAAGGACTCTTCCAAGTGTTTCTTAAAGCAGAAGAAAGAGCAGCTAAGGTTGCCCACCTCCGTGGAGGGCCAGCAGCGACTCTACATTAAGGATCGGCCAGATGACTTCAGGAAAGTTGGAACACCAAGTGAAGGACTGACTACACGCAGTATGGAGGGTACCTTTTTCCCTACCATTTCTCGCGGAATGTGCAGTCCCATCGCCAACAAGAACCAAAGAAAGCTGTCTGAGGACTCAGGACTGTATCATCCACTTTTGCCAGTCCAACAAACACGTAGAACCTTCTGGGATGACATAGGTATGCGCCAGAATCACCATCTGCTAGCTCCCTGGCCTCGAGGAGAAGAGAATTCTGCAGATATATTAATCAAAATTCTGGAAACACCAAAACCTAACCGGATGCTGGAGAACAAGTGGCTGTATTGGGAAGATCACAGGGAAGCAACCAAGCAGCCCACCAACACTGGCAAACAGTCTCAAGGAAAATTAGATCTGGAACCACACAAGCTTCCCTGGTCATGTGAAGGCAAATGGCTCCATGATCGCAAACACAGGAAACAGGACATGCTTAGCTCTATTTATTATAAATATATATACAAAGGAGGGGATGACATCTGTGAATGGGCTGAGCCTTGTCGAGATTCCATGCAACAAATTGACACCGGAAATGAAAACCAACCAAGCTATGAAGAATCACCTGCCAAGAAAACTGATCTGCCTACATTTGATCTCAGGTATGGCAGGAAAGCGAGCAAAGTGAAGGACAGCAGACTCTCCAAACAGGCCTCCCACTTCGATATAAAACTCCAAAAACCACAAGATCCTCATAAAGCCAGCAAGGAGATTAGATATGAATCGCCATACCTGAAAAACAACCATTGGAAAATATTAGGAAATGAAGAGCCTGTAGCAGATCCCAATGAGCTTGAACTTCAAGATGAAAACATTGGTAGTCCAGAAATCATTGAGGAAGCTTATGAACCAACTGACTGGAAATACTTCATTAGCAAGGATGACAATTCTACACTAAGCACTCTTGAGCAGATGTTTATGAAGAAAGGATGGGGTTATGAAAGTTCTCCTGCGTCAAAAATGTTTAAAGATTATTATTGGATCATGGATACAGATTGTGATGATGATGATGATGATGAAAGTAAAGAAGAAGAGGAAAAAGTGAAGGAACAGAAGAAAGAAAATAACTAGGTGGCTTTCTAATTATGACTTATTATATTGGCTATATCTCTCATTTTACAATCAATCAAATTATACATCATTACACATAAATCAAATTATACATCATGAAGTAATTCTAACATCTGCCTTGCCTTCACGAATATGTTATGTACTTTATCAACTACAGGATGAATATTCACATGTACTTTTTCCACATTTTTGTAGCATTGAAGCTATTGCATCATCACATGGATCAATTATAAGAATGCACAAAACCATTCATAAAAAAATCAGTCTAAAGAAGATCCAGTGATGACAATAACAATGTGAGAAGAATCTCAAAACACTGAAATTGCACAGGATAAAAGGAAACTCATACAATTCTCCGAGGATTAAAACTTAATGAAATAACTGTAGCAATTATTTTGTCAACTGAAACCTGAGATCAATAGCCAAATAAATGTGAATTCATCTTCTGTGATAGTAGCTGTTACTAATGTCTTTAATTTCAAATTCATTTTGGTGTTTAAAACATTAATTTTAACTTTTTTTTTACTGAACATTCACAAATAAGTGGATATTTTCATTTATTCTCTTTGTAAGATTTAATATTTTCACAATTAAATCCTTATCACATATGGTATTTTGCAAATATTGCAATCTCATAGTACCTTTTACTATTTTGGTTCCTTTCCCCCCAGAAAGTGTTGAAGTATCTCGCTTGTCTTTCTTTTGTCTTCATAGTCTATGCTTTTTTTTTTTTTTGTTGATTTTTGAGTCAGGTTTTCCCTGTGTAGCTTTGGAGCCTGTCCAGGAACTCACTCTGTAGACCATGCTGGCCTTAGGAGAGCTGGGATTAAAGGCACTTACCACTTGGCTATAGTCTATGTTTTTAATGCCATATCCAAAAAGTTAATACTCATGCAAATATCCCAGTGATTTCTCCCTGTGTTCTTTTCTTCCTAATAGTAGTGTTATGATGTCAGATATTACATCTAAGTGTTTAGTAATTTTGGTTTCTTTTTCTTTTTTCCCCCTAAAGTTAGGTTCTCGGTAACTAGACTATGCTGAGGACAAAATGGATGCTCAAATAGTTGGTAAAAGAATTGAGAAACAGTGAAAGCACTTTAAAATATAAGGCTTATTATTATCCTACAACATTCTCCTCAATGTTAACAATTCACACATTTCTACAATCATCTTCACTGTCCCTCCCACCGGTTATTTCTTTTTTCCCCCACAGCCATTTTGTTGGCTGCATGCCTTTGTCAAGATTTTTCATAACCACATATGCCTTGGAACCATTTTTATGTTGTTGTCTGTCATTCAGTGTGTTATCCTTCCCCTTTATCCCATGGCGTCTTCATACATACCACTCCATTTTTAACATAAACACTGAAATATTTTAATATAAATATGAGTTAACTTATTTTGGAAGTTATATTTCAGTAAATCTAGCAGTTATAAGAAGTATGTGGTTCACTGGAAGAGTTGTGGTGTCCAAGGGGTGACAGAAGAGGTTTAAGTCTCTGATCTCCACCAACACATAATCAAAATGCCAATTCGTCTCCTATTGTAAAGTTTAATTCAGTGTTATCCATACATCATCAGAAAGCACCACATTTTGGGTCAGCAATCAATTTTATAATTAGCTGACTTTCAATTTTAGAATTGTGACCTTGTACTGCACGGAGTCAGTTTCCTCATATATGAAGAGGAAACCATGCCATTAAACTCAAAGACATTTTGATGAGAATCATAGATCTATTTTCTATGATTGCTTATGGATACAGATAGCACACAATTGACACTAAGAATGTCTTCATAAAAGAGGACTGTATTTATAAAAGGGAGATGGGTGTTTTGGTGATCCAAAGGAAAAAGGGAAGTTTGATGACATCTATTGTGATACTCTCATGTTCTATCATACTCAATGTTGACTATTGCTGAAAATTAAGAAAAAAATATTGCAGGGCTGGAGAGATGGCTTAGCAGTTAAGAGCATGGGCTGCTCTTCCAGAGGTCCTGAATTCAATTCCCAGCACCCACATGACAGCTCACAACTTTCTGTAACTCCATCTCCAGGGCATTCAACACTCTCACACAGGCAACTTATCAATGCACACACAATGAAAACAAATAAATAATTTTAAAAATTGTGGTTACATTGCCTTTTCAAAATTTGTGTTCCTCAGTGCTCTTTTCTTCATGTGGACTCAAGTCTGGGTCCTACTTCTTCTGGGAATTAAGGAGGCTTTTGTAAGGGTGGTGGGGATGCCAGGTAGGATGCATGAAGGCCTTTCCTGTCAGAGATGATGCTTTCACTCTGGCAACACGGCTTCCATGTCTTGTAGTAGTGTCCTTCATCTTGTGGGAGTGATCATCAATCCTGGGAACTGACTTGCCTTGCTGACCAATCCCCATACACCATCCTGCTTACCCCATGGTACATCTGTATCCCACCTTACCTAAGCTCTTTCTATGGTATGGGATGGAACAAGCCATATCCATTTAACTTTTCATAGAGTGGCAGGGACAGTAGGACCCCAATTCTGTCATAAAGTTCAAGTACAACCAAATGTGGACCCATGCCAGGAGAAATTCATGAAGCCTGGGACATATCTGTGCTTTTAGAGCCAGCATGAAGAGGAGTTGCTATAGGTGATTAGATTAGTATCAAGCACTCAAACCAGAGGCCTGTCACAGGAGAAGGAATAGGATTCCAGAGAGGCTGGTTATGAGTGCTGTGCTTTATCAGATAGACTCCTATGTATATTGATGAATCAAGACCTAAAATATAGCACATATAGTACTGTTATCACAGTAATAGATGTTATGGAATATTAGTTGAAGATGTGTTATATTCATTTATGCTATAGAATATTTGTTTAACCATGCAAATATTCTTTTATGCTGCATTTGTTTAACTATGTAAAGCTGTGTTACTTTGCCTGCTTAAAACACCTGATTGGTCTAATATAGAGCTGAATGAACAATAGCTAGTCAGGAGAGAGAAATAGGCAGGGCTTCTAGGCAGAGAAAAGAAATAGGAGGAGAAATCCAAGAAGAGAGGGGAGTAAGAAAAGGAGGAGAGGAGATGCCAGGGGCCAGCCACCCAGCCACAAATCCAGCCATGGAGTAAGAATGAGAGAAAGAATATGTAGAATAATGAAAGATAAAAAAAGTCCAGAGGCAAAGCACAGTTAAAGAGAAATGGGATAATTTAAGTTAGAAAAGCAGGCTAGAAACACGCCAAACTAAGGCCACTCATTCATAAGTAAGAATCAACCTCCATGTGTTTACTTGGGAGCTGGGTGGTGGGCCCTCAAGGAGTAAAAAGAAGCAAAACTAGAAACAAAGAAACAAACAAAAACCAAAAAGCCTTCTATACATAATGTGAAATATTGTAAGATTGGGAAATTATGTTAATGTAGGAAGAAAGAATGGATTCAAAGTAGGATAAGCAATCAAAGGTCATCAGTGCCCTAAGCTGTCTGGTCTACCTTGTGAACCAGGGAGTTTAACTACCATTATTTACAAGAGGACGGACGAGGACCTCTTATATTAATGTGGGCAACTTGTGGAGTAGGTATACTACAAAATAAGAACCTCACCCACCAACAGTTGATAACATAACAAACCTTTATGAAGGGGCAGAAAGTTGATCATCACTTTCTGGGATCTCCCTCTCATCCAAGGAGTATGTACACTCTTCTGGTGGTCTTCTGTGGGGAACATGATTTTAAGACAGCAACAACTATGTCATACTCTGATCATGGTATTTCACAATACTTATAATCACAAATCACATAACAAATAACTTCTAGTGTTTAATGTATTTATTACAATGTATTCTATAATACTCAACCAGCACCATTGCTGGAGAACTTAACCTTGAGACATCATGATTTCACATTTTTTTGATATTTTTTAAAAATTTAAATTTGAAAGAAGCTTGTTTTACACAATACCAGTTCCTGCATCCTCCTGTCCTCCTCTGTTACCCCACCACCACCAACCCCTATCCCATCCCCTTTTTGCTCCTCAGTGAGGGTGAGGCCTTCCATGGGGAGCTTCCACTCTGTCCTATCATTTGGAGCAGGGACCAGGCACTCCCCCATGTGTCTACGCTGAAGGAGTATACAAATGGCTACCACAGTCCATTTGTATACTAGGGATAAATACTGATTCATTACCAGAGGCCCCATAGACTGCTCGGCCTTCTAACTGAGACCCACGTACAGGGTCCCTATACTGGTTTCCCAGATATCAGTCTGGGGTCTATGAGCTCCCCCTCGTTCAGGTCAGCTGTCTCTGTGGGTTCTCCAGCCAGGTCTTGACCCATTTGCTCATCACTTCTCCCTCTCTGCAACTGGATTCCAGGAGTTTGGCTCAGTGTTTAGCTGTGAGTGTCTGCTTCTGCTTCCATCAGTTACCAGATGAAGACTCTGAAAGACAAAAAAGTAAAGTTAAGGACAGACTAACCTGGAAAGCTAACCCAGACCAATATCTGTTCCTTAGAATTTGCTAACTTCTCCTCACAAGGCCCTGAGATAACAAGATACCAAGAATTTACACTGCCCTGCTTTCTTGTGAGTCAGCAGGTGGTAAATAGGGTCCTTAAGAAACAAAGAGATAACTGTACCTCCGGTTTGCCCAGACAAGATTAATAGCACACCCTGAGGCCCTAAGATCTGTTGACCCTAATAGCGAGACCATCCAGCCTCAAAGGGTCAGGTACTCAATGGACAGAGGGTCCCACCCCCTCCCTAAGCTTGTGGGTTCTGCCTTTAAAAACACCTGTGCCTGGGGGGATGGTGCTTCTCTCTAGCCTGTGTGCTGGAGGATCCCGTTTGCGCAAACGTTTCCTATTCATTAAAGCCTCTTGCGTGTTGCAGCAACTGAACTGGACATTGAGTTCTTGGGGGTACTGACCGAAACTGGGAGACTCCTCATTCTGCGAGTCTTACAGCTCTAGGATGGCAAATAATGTTGTAATTAACCGCATTATTGTGGAAGAGCATTAAAGG